TTTCATTAATCACATATTAAACCGATTCTTATACTTAATTTGCTATTTTATGTATATATATATTTTATTTTTTTTAGTATTATACCAGGCTCTGCTCATCACCTTCACTACCTTTTCCCAAAACCCCTTTGTTTCAAAAGATTACCTAAAGTGATGAGAACCCCAAAGAGAACAATGAGACCCACAGCATAGCAAGGGATTTCTGAACTTCAGGAAAGCTAAATCAGGTTTATAATAGGACCTTGACCCATTGTCTATGTTGCAACAAGAACCAAAGGTAAAAACCTTGACCCATTGTCTATGACGCAACAAGAACCAGAGGTATAAATTTAGTTGACGCCACACCCTCGAACAATTAAGAACAAGAATGATAAGTTAGGTTAGAATGCCACAAGAATAATCTTGATAAGTTCTATAAAGTTCTGAAAGGAACCAAAGAGAAAAGTCTCTCAAAAACTCAGATTCAATCCTCCCTCCAATTAGGGTTACAACCCCTTTAAATAGGGAAAAGTAAATCTAATAAGAATAGGAAACTAACACCCTAAACCCTAATCCTAATAACCACGAATTGGGCCTCAAATAAATGAATGTTCAGCCCAAAATAATACAAAAAACGTGAAAATCACTGAAAGTAACCTAACGTAACATGAAATATTAGTTTGTTACAAATTGTGACAGAATTGCGGGATTTTGACGCAAACTGTGTAATTCCGTGCAAATGATCTTAACTAAGCTTCTCTTGAATGTGAATGATGTTTACCATGCCTTAATAATCATCCAAGCTTCGATTTGCTTGTTGTATGTTGTTTTCAACCCAGATCTGCTCAGTAAGGCCATTAAAGCTTCATACAGCTTCTTAGCTTTAGCTCGCGTGACTGGATCTCCTTGGGTGTGTAATGGATCACATGACGTAGTAGATGCTGTCGTCTTGATTCCCATCAGATTCATCAAGGATTTCAGCACAATTGCAGCACCGTTAACTGAAATTGTGAAAAAAAGTGTTGGATTTAAGTGGGAAAGTGAACAGGAGAATGCTTTCAATTTATTGAGGAAATTTTAATGGTTAAATCCCCATTTTGATCCCTGAACTATTGTACAGACCCCCCCGATTTGGTCCTTGAACTAAAGAAATCCCTGATTTGGTCCCTAAACTATTATACGGACCCCGATTTGGTCCCCACTGTTTATAATTTGGCCTAAGTTGGTCCTTGAACTATTGTATGGACCCCTAATTTGGTCCTTACTGTTTACAATTTCGCCCCAATTTGG